GGGGGGGGGGGGGGGGGGGGGGGGTGTGTTTACATAAACAACAACTGGTGTAAAAATGCTAGATCAGTGGCCAGCCACTGCTCTCCGGACATAGAGCTTTTGACGGTTAACTGCAGACCCTTCTTATTGGAGCTATTTATTCTTTATGTCTTTATGCATTTGAATTTTTGTTAGTTAATTCTTAAATGTATATTTTTTGTATTAATTTACAGTATTTATTTGCAGGTTAATAATTGTTGATTCTATTTAATTTCTTGTCTTATTATTTTTCTTATTCATTATTTGAGTTAAGCAGGAAATGGGTCATGTGGGTCAGTCCACTTGCCTATAAATATAGGGGCCTGGTAAAGGACCAGCAGGCATATGGGTTGGGGCCTATGGTTTTACCAGGACAAGAGATCAGGACAAGAGAACAGGACAAGAGAACAGGACAAGAGATTAGAACAAGAAACAGAGCAAGCAAGAGCCAGAGAACAGAAAGTTTGAACTCTGTAATTGTTGCAAAAAAGGGAACCAATAAACCTTCAACAAGAATCAAGAAGTTTGGATATGAACTATTTTCTTTCCTGGGTATAGAAACTGGACCCCATTGCCTCTTAGTGGCTTGAAGAACTTTTCGTTTGATGTTTGGTTCGACAAACAATCGCCACTATAGGTACTGTTTGTTTTTATCAGTGGTTCTAAAACACTGTTCGAACCAGAAATCTTGACATGTTCAGTCTTGCTCAGTAAAGCTCGGTAAACTGACTAAGTTTTTTTCTGGATATGCGTATGGGATTACACATTTCTAAATCGTCAGTGAACAAAGTAATGCATAAACTAACATCTTCATGAGAGAGAACTGGACTCGTTTAAAGTCCTCACCATCCAGATGTAACCCATACCCTCTTTGGTCCGCTGCTGGCCCTCTGCACCTCTCCTAGACTCTGCCTTGGGATTGTTGTTGTTGTTTGGGGGAGCGTCATGCGGAGGCAGAGAAGAACCAGACTCGTAATTGTGGCTTAGACCTGGCCGTTTTATTTATTTTTTTTCTTTTGTTACCGGCTTCAGGACTCCCTTTCAGGGGAAAGGAAGGTAAAACACCAAAGATATCTTTAGAAATAAATCTCTCACTCAAAAAATAATCAACACTAAATCAATCAATAACACAAAGCATACCGTTTTTCCCAGATAAAGACTATATGCAACAAAAACTACTACTCCTTCCTGCCGGGTGTTCTGTCAGGTCAGCATACCCCAACAGACCAGCCTACCCATAGTCAATACGCATGCGCATGACGTCATATTTTCGTACGGGGTATGCTAGTATGCTAGTCTGGCAGTAGGGGTGTCAGATCAGAATAGCCCGTCTGACCAGCATACCCATAGTTAATACGCATGCGCTACCTTTAGCCCGTCAGCATACACTTTGATAAGATGAATTTGCCATTTCGAAATGTACGTACAGGTATTTGGATTTTAGCTACACACCAGGTGATTGCTTAGGGGTGTGGTCTTACCTTATTTAACAGATAGGGTGTACCCAACAGATAGGCCTACAGGTGAGAGTTTTTTGCAACTTTTTCTTTTGACTGTCATCTCTTAATCGCTGTCATTCTAGATAATCATTTCGAACGTCATTTCACAGATCTGAAAAGTGATGCATCTGTGTGATTGAACCAAAGTTTATTGTCATATGGCTTAAAATGAATACCCAAATGCCAATGGAACTTATATGGTTTATTAGAAATAACTCACTGTACAAAACCTACTCTACTTTAAATAAAATTAATTTAGCTGACACTTGTTACATTTGAATATGTCAGAAAAGTGGGGGGCACATTCATTGTGTGTCCAACTTGGACAGAAGTCACACTGTATCTGCAAGGTAGAAAGAAAAAGAAAGTAAAATGAGTTAGAAGTGTACTGCATAGAAACTATTAAATTCTACAGTAGGATTTTTACCATATAAGTGACTTTCTGGTTGTAGGAGACGCAGTAGTCTTCCACCTTGTCTGGAAAATAAAGTAAATTAAGCATTTACTATCTATGTTGCTATTTCAAATTTAGATTTTTCTCTAATAGTAAAACTAAAATAACAAATGTAGTACTGTCGTATGCAATACATTTCCAAATCTCATAGTTTTATGCCCGCTAGTTAATGATTTACAGTTTAATACCTTGAAAATGGGTGTATTGGGAATTGATATTTTTCACCTTTGTGTGGCAACAGGGTGATCAATGGTTAGTCTGGGCTCCTGCATGTCATCATGGCCAGTGCCTACTGATCTCAAACTTCCCTCCTTCAAATATTGTTCTGCAAACTACAAAAAAAAGCATAAATACTTACAGAAATACTTACTTTAGGGGCATTGTAGCCAACAAAAAAAGGTGCTTAAGAACAGATTGATTATGAATTAATTCACATCACCTCCAGTTTCGGAGAAGTCTTCTTTCA